GTTGAGGTTAAATTGGAAGTGCAGGTTAATGACTTAGAAGCTACAGTGTTAGAGATTGGTGATCAAGTTAAAGCCGTACAATACCATCAAGGATTGCAGTGCCATGTTGAATACCCTCACGTTTGTGTCACTGTTCTTCCTTACAATGAGTCACAGTGGAATTGGGAAAAGGTTGCTGCACATTTAATGGGTATCTCTCATCATACCAATCTCAGCCTAGATCTTCAAATGCTTCATCAACAGATCTTGTCTATTCACCACGCCCACATTAGTTTCCTCACTCCCTAAGGATGTGGCAATATCAATTCTTGATTTCTTGAATAGATTCAATCCTTTCAATCTGGCCAAATAAGTGTTGCTATGATCCTGGGAATTCTGATTTTCCTGTTGCTACTAATGATTTGTTTACTAGTCCTCTGTAGCCTTCCTAGGACAGTTCACCAAACTTGTCTTGGGAAAACACCATCACAAACTGCAGCTACAAAACAGAACAGGTGGAGATGCTGGGAGTGCTGTGTTGTAGATCACTATGGCCAGGCCTAAGTCACCTCCATTGGTGGATGAGGCAGGGACCTGTGGGAGGAGAACAGGAGACAAGAGGGCATGGCAGAGCAAGGCCTGGCTGAGAAGAGAATGTGTCTTCCTCCCCATCCATTCCCCATAAAACCATCAAAGCATGATGTTCTGCAGACCTTAGCTACTCTCCTGCTTCCAGTTACAGACCAGCCCCTTTTACCTCCCCCTGCACTTCCTTATCTCTACCACTATAAATAAACGTGCTGTAGTTGCCTGGTGGTCTTTTTCTACCATCAGGGAGGAAGAGCCCTACCTGGCCCCAGCTTTGTTTCTCTGTTCTTTTGTATCTCTTTGTTTTTTTTTCAATACCCCACTGAGATTGAGATTCTCACTGCTTGGACCCTTCAGTCGTGCAGTCGGTGGCATTATCTAATTAATTAATTAATTAATTAATGAGAGTCCAAAGAAAAAGAAGGGGGAGGAGGAAAAGGAGCAGGAGGAGAAGAAAGAAAAAAAGGAGGAGGAGAGCAAAGGAGAAGAGGAAGAAAAGGAGGAGAGGAAGAGGAAGAGGAAGAAGAAGAAGAAGAGGAAGAGGAAGGGGAAGGGGAAGGGGAAGGGGAGGAGGAGGACAAGGACAAGGGGGAGAAAAGTGGAGAAGAAGAGAAAAAGAGGAGGAGGGGAAGGCAGGGTAAGGAAGGGAAGGAGAAGGGAGAGAGGGGGAAGGGAAGAGAGAAAAAGTGCTGGCAAAGATATGGAGAGAAAAAAGAACTGTTATACACTTTTGATTAGAAAATAAAGTACTATATGGAAAACAGTGAGGGTTCCTCTGAAACATAAATGTGCAACTATTATATGATGCTGTTATTCTGTTCCTGGGTATAAATCTAAAGGAAATGCCAGCGTTCAAAAGAGATACATACATGCTCATGTTTACTGAGCCCCTAATCACAGTACTGAGAAATCAAGTCAGCCTAGGTGACCATAGAGAGATGAATGGATAAGGAAAATATGGTATATATGCACAATGAAGTATTACTTAGCCATAAAGAAGGAACTGCTATTTTCAGGAAAATGGATGGACCAGGAGGGCATCATTTTAAATGAAATAACCCAGAGAAAGAAAGATAAGGATCTCATGTTCTCTCTCATATGTGGAAACTGAAGGAAAGTAGAAGAGCATGTTTGAAAATGTTACAGTGAATCTGATTAATTTCTACAATAATGTGTTAATAATAAAAATTCTAAAAGAAAACAATAGGCATTAAAAGGCACTTCACAAAAGAAAAGGAAAAGGCACTTCATAACTTGGTCAATTTACTGAAAAAAAATTGGATTTTACAATTGAAACAGGGACAATTATATGATATACTAAACATGCTTAAAGTTGTTAATAAATGACCTATGATTTTTTTTTTTTTGAGACAAGGCCTCACTGTGCAGTGCAGGCTGGCCTTGAACTCATTATGTAGCCTAGGCTGGCCTCGAATTCTCCATAATCCTCCTGCCTCAGCCTCCTGAGTACTGGGATTGTAGGCGTGTGTCAACATGCCTAGCTGATCTGTGGATATTAAAGAAAAAAAGATCAACAAAACTATTAGACTGACTGATACTCATACACTCAAAAATAAAATAAAACAAAACATACTTGACTTACCAAAATTCAAAGAGGATGTGGATAATTCTATATCAACAAATTAGTAACTTAGAAGTAATCATTAAGTATTCAGGGGTTATAGAGTATTAATTTGGCAATTTACTCTTAAATACTTCAGGGAAAAGAAAGGCTTCTATTTAAACTGTTGTTGCTACTTCTAAAATGTAAAATGTTTTTAAAAAGAAAGAAAAAGGAATGATTATCATATCAGGTTGATATTTACAGAAAGGCTTATTATATAATTCTTCCCATTTCAATTGTGCAATCCAATTATTTTTTTTCAGTAAATTGACCAAGTTGTGCAACTATCATCATGATTCCATTTGAGAACATTTTCATCACCCAAATAAGATGTTTAATGCAGTCATTTGTTTTTTGCATTGCATTTGTGAGGTACCTTTTAATGCCTATTGCCTTCTTTTAGAATTTTTTTTATTAACACGTAGTGTTTGTGTTAGGAAGATAGAATGGGTGATAAGAAATAATGTCTAATTTCAAACAATAATTGTTTGCCTCTAATGAGAACAAAATTCACCAAAGCACAAGCCTTTTAACATACATTTACATGCACACAATTGTCTGAATTTGTGACTTCAGATGTGGAGGAATTTCAGAATCATCTAAAGTTGAGTAGCATGGAGTGAATGGTTAAAATGCTGTGCAGGTCACTGGAAATGAGGAAGTCAAGGAATTGAAATGCCCAGGCATTGGGGGAGGCAGTAAAGAGGAGCTGAGAATCTGTAAGATGATGGCAGGATTCAGGATGGAGAGAAAGACTATAAATTAGATTCCATGTCCTCACTGTGAGGAAATAAGGAAGCTATAAGGTGAATGTGGGGTAGAAGGTTCTAAGTAAGAAAGAAACAAAACTGAAAGAGGTTGAGAAATAATAAGGCAGTGATAGTACAGAAATAGTAGAGGAGAGGAATCCTAACCCTAATTTTTAATAAACTCTGAAGAGACCATGCTTGGCTGGCCTGATTCTACCATGAAGCCAACATTTAAAGGACAACTTCATAGGGCAGAAATCGAAGAAGTTATATGGAGCTTGGTCTGCAATTGCTATCAAGAAATCAGTGATACAAACAAATAATTTTCTGTGATTTTCTTCTGGTCTATTTACAAAAGGACTCAGTAGAGAATACCAGCCAAGTAATTGTGCTGACACCTATTTATTCCCAATGGGAACTTAGAGCCCAAGATTCATCATGCCATCTGTTGCATGTGGCAAAAGTCAGTAACATGTCTATTTTACTGGAACAATGATACAAGGGCACCACCCTACCTTAAGATAAGGTGTATGGATAGATACAAATATATGATTTGTGTGGGTACATGTGTGCATATATGTATGTGTGTATATATGTACACATATATACTACATTTAATATATAGTTCAGTAATAGATGAGATTGTCTTTTAAATTTCAAAAGAAATCACCATATATGCTATTTGAATAATTACCTTCTCTACTGAGAGGTCATGTAGTGAAGAGGAAATTGTAACACTAAGATTGAGGTGTCTGACAAGTTAAGAGATGTTAGGCAAGCCATTTACTTATTTGATTATTAGTTCCACTTACTTGTGAAATTGTCATACTTAAATTTCCTTTTAATTTTAATTCTAAATCATTTGTGATTTTATTTAAATGTAACTATTTGGAAACAATTTGGTATATGAAGAAAATAACCTACTTATTCATTTAACATATTAATATACAGAATTATATTGAGAATATGGATTTATAGGTTGAGCTATTATAATTTTCTAGTAGATTATTTTACTACTGGTCACTTTTTTAGCTTTAATTCCACCCTTCATTGTATACACTGTACACAGGAACATCAAAATGATTCTATGAAAGTGAAGCATGTGCTTTTTCTTCTTTTGGTTCTTTCCCATTTCTAAACTTGTTTATTTCTCCTCATGCATCAAGCTCTAATACTCAAAATCTTAGCATACTAATAAAAGTGGGATGTTTCTAGGTACCTTGAGACCACTAGATAGTGATTTTTATCATGTCTTAATTATTTTTCAAAGAGATATTCCTCTTTGATTGCTCTCTAATACCCCACATCATAACAAGATGATAGATTTTTAATTTACCATTTCTTTCTTATATTATTAATTCTTAGGGAAATCTGTTTACCATGCCCTTCCCATGTAGACTCTTGTTAGATTGTGATCACTCTAAGATGAACATGTATTGTCACTGCACACACTCCTATTGGGAAGAAAAGCAAATGACTTGGCATTTGAGGGTTTTTTTTCTTTCTATAGATTAAAAAGGGCACAAGAATCTTAACAACCTTGGAAGAAACTCAGCTTTTCTGCACCCAGAAGATTTCAAATCAATACTGAGCATTAACGTTTTAATTGAGAATTAACATCACTATAATTGGAAGTGAGGGTGAGCATCTTGATGGTTAGAAGGTGATTTGTTGGGGGAGGTCATTACACTGGAGAGCACAAACAATGGAAAGGACAGCACAAATCATTTGTTGCCTTCAACAAGGTCACAGTAAATACTTGAATTAGTGGTCAACTATAATTTGCTTCTAGAGCCAGAAACTCTGGCAGCTCTACATTTTGGACTTATAGCAGAGCACTTAAAGTAGTAGCGACTTTGAAAGCAAAGGACAAAAGAGCCCAGGGAGAAGTTACTAGGTATGAAAGAGCTGTCCCTCCTTGCAGGTTTTAAGGACTCTCCCCTCCATCTAAGAGCAATCTGTAATCCTGTGGGAAGTCCCGGTGCCCCACAGCCACTTGTTATTTCCAGCACACTCTCTTCTTAAATAACTACCCCTTGTGGAAGCCAAACATGTTTAAGTCTGAGTTATCAAAAATCCTTTATTTTTTTGCCTGGGAACTCCAAAGCAATATATTCTCAGCCTGAACAATATAGATAGATTTTTTTTTCCATTTTGCTAAAAATGAACTCTAAAAAATTATGTTGTTTTCTATTTGCCTCCAATGTCTTAAAATGTTCCATCAGTTCTCCAAATTCTCCAGAACATAATACCTCTCCCAGTACCACCTGCCCTCCAGTACCACCTGCTCTCCAGTACCAGGGAATAAGTGCTCTGTGAGGACTTAGCTCCTTGGTGGAGTGAGAAAATTCAGAAAGGGGGATATTCCACGAACAAGTTCTCCCCTTTCATCGAAAGTGACAAAGTCTGCTCACAAGAGTGCCTGTGTCTTGTTTTCCTATGTGACCCAGGAGGCAAGAGAGGACCCTGCCAGTGAGGAGTCCTCTGCCTTGCCCTGCAGACCACTGTCCCTGGCCTTCACCCCACTGTCCGTGCACTGCGCAGAGCTGGAGAGCTCAGCTTCACACTCCACGCCCTGAGGGGCCAGATGCCCTTTCCTGGGCTGAGGCCTCTTTTGAAAGCAGAGTTTGAAAAGCCCCAGTACTGTCAAGGTCAGGATCACCAACACTACCACTGCCATGCTTACAAGTATGGAGACCACAGTGGTAGAGTAGTCGAAAGCCTGGGGCCTGGATGAGGCAGGTGTGGAATTAAATGCGGGGACCATGCTTCTGGATGGAGTGAGGAAGACTGTGGGCTTGGCGTGAGAGGATATCTGAAGGGAAGATATCGTGCTCTGTGCTCCCCACTGAAGAACCTCAGGAACAGATGTTGCTGCGGAACTGCCCTGTCCAGTGGCATTGGGTGGTCTCTCTCCTGGCTTCTGGACTCTGGGGCTGGCTGCAGTGGCCTGCTGGCTCCAGGTGGCCACCTTGGTCGCCCCAGGCCCTGGCTGTCCTTTCTTTTTGGTCACACAAGAGCTTCCATCCTTTCCCAGATGGAAGCCCTCAGCACATTCACAGGCAAAGTTTCCCAAGTCGTCCAGGCAGTGAGAAAGCTCAGCGCATTTGCCAGCACGGAGATACCTCCCAGGGCAGGGACAGAGCACCGCTCCGGAGGGGAGCTCTTGCCAGCGTGCGCCGGCCTCTTCCTCGACGCAGGTGGCTTCGATGGAGAGCTCCCCAGGACAGGTTGCACTCACCTTGGTCCCCGGAGGACTGAAGTCCAGCGCTGAGCTGTGCAGCTGGAAAGGAGCGCGGTAGCTCAAGTTAGAGGCGGCCCCTGGGCGCGGCGCGGGGCACAAATTCTCAAACTGGTACTTGCACAGGTAACCATTGGCGCGCAGGTAGCAACGCATCTCCTTCCAGCCTGCAGGCTCTGCCCCTCTAGTGGCCTGGAGTCCCGCGCACTTGCGCACCGTACAGGAGCGTTGCGGCTCCTCCACCCAAGGCAGGGTGTCGCTTTCGGACGCACCGGCGTCGGGGGTCAACCAAGAGAAACCCCTCAAGGGTTCGCTCTCCAGGGTGCAGTGGGAACGCCCGCGCTCCAGCGCCACCCAGAACAACAGGTCTTTGGAACCCCCTCCAGGCCCGGGGCCTGCCCGCAGGAGCGCGAGCACCGCGCGCAGCTCCGCGCCCCCGTGCACCGTGCTGAGCGCCCCGCCGCGCAGGTTGCAGGCCTCCTCTGCCGCCGGCCGCTTGATGGTAGCGTGGTGCAGACTGTAGCAGGCCCCGGAGGCTAGACAGCCCGCGCGGTCGGCGGTGGGGTGCTCGGCATTGCCAGGCCTGGGCCAGAGCGCCTGATAGAGAAGACACAGGGCGAGCACCAGCCTCATCTCGGAGGCCTGTGCCCGCAGCCGCTCCCAATTTAGGTCTGTCGGACCGAGAGCGCCGAGCGGTCTCCGAGCGCGGTCGCCGCCCTCTGCAGCTGGCTCCCCACCCTGCTCCCCCCGTCCCCTCTCCTCCTCTCAGCCTACAGGAATCCCCAATCCCCACCACAGTCCCTGCGGCCAACAGCTTCCCTAGGCCGCGACGGGACAGGAAGCGTGACCTGAGCTCTGCCAAGCCCCAGCAGCCCCGATTTATTCTGGGATCGGAGCACAGCTGGCGCCTGAGCACTGGAAACACACAGCCCAGCCGGAAGGTCAAACACCCTGCTTCGAGCAAGAGAAAAAGAAAGTTGCCAGTAGGGTGGTGTATGCTTCTCTCTACTCAGGGCGTTTCAGGACCTCGCATCCCACAGCCCTTCGGGGAACACTGGCCGGAAGGACTGGGCCCAATGAACTTGCGTGCCGCCCCTAGTCCACGCCGGCCCATTGTATTTCCATCCGGAATAGTGGAATTGGCGTCAGAATGGTTTGTAGATAGCTCTGGGAGGTTTTCTGAGCGGGGTGGGGTGGAGAAACCTCGTGAGAAATCTTAGCATCTTGCTTGTGCACCACAGGCGGCCTTATTTCACTTCCATTCTCTTCCTGTCTTCTGATTCTTCCTTCTATCAGAGGAAATTGCTAGTCTAGGAAGTTAGAATTTCTTAGGGTTTTTAAATGGGAAACTCTTTGGTCAGCACTTGCCTGAAAAGTTTGTTTTTAACTTGCATTTGTTTCTTTTTTAAATGGTTCACATTGGCTCCATCAGGAAAGGAAATATATATCAAGCCTAAATGAGAAATAATGCCATAGATCATAACTGCTAGGCTGTTGGGTTTCCTTACCCCTATAATGGTTCTTAACTTCTTCAAGCTTATAGGTTGTATATAAATGAATTCAACTAATTTGTTAATGTTGGAGAACTGCTCTATGTGTGTTTTTATCCTCGAACTATCTTCATATAATTTTCTCCTATGAATAAGTATGCCACTATTTATAGCAGAAAATTTCAAAAGTCTTCTCTCAGGAACATTAGAGATCTACACCCTTAAGAAATTAAAGTATTTATTACATTATAATGTATACTGAGTACTGTAAGACGATAATCTGAAATTTGGAAGATAACTGAGTCCATTTCTTCAGAGTTTGTCTTTGTTTGTTTGTTTATTTTGTGGTGCCAGGGATAGAACTCAGGACCTTGTGGTTGCCAGGCAGGCACGGTGCCACTGAGCTACATCCCTAGCCCCCATTTTGTTTTGACATAAACACTAATTTAGTTGGAAGAGGGAAGGAGTTAAAGACAGATAAAGGAAAGAAAAGGTAAAATCTGAATTATCTGTGAAAGGATTTCTTGTTAGTTACTTAGACAACTGTACATCACTTTATTTTTTTTTATTTTTTAATTTTTTGGTACCAGAGATCGAACTCGGGACCTTGCATTTGCAGGGCAGGTGGCGGAACCACTGAGCTAAATCCCCCAGCCCAATGTACATCACTTTAGAAAATAATCACATATCTGTCTCAGCTCCCAGTGACCAAAAATATTGTAACCAGAAATACATAAAGGTTTCATCAAATCCTCTTAATGATGAATGATGCTTTTAAATATCTATAAACAGAATAAAAGTCGCCACCCATGAGTAATTCAGGGCACCGCACTTTAGAGTCACTTTGTTGTACTGGCATGGACTGTTCAGGTTAATGAGGGGCAAAAAAGAAGGTATCAGGATTATGTCTGCATGCTCCTATCTTATTTGTGCCGTGCCCATCACTCTTCTTTTCCTCCTGGAAATTCCATGCATCTACGCCAGCTGTAGTAAACGTGGGGAATCATTGCACTCCTCTTGCTGACTGTGGAGTTTTGCAGCAAGACTTCTCTCCCACCCTTTCCTGTTCCCAAGTTAAAGAGCATGCCTCAGTCCTTCATTTCAAATGTCTGAGGCATTTAAACATGACTTTGCATTCAAATTAAATAACTTAATATAAGAAAGAAACGTAAAAGTCTAGAAATCAAATTAAGAAAATTTTGAAAATACCGAAATCACTTGGGCTAGCTCCGCATGTCTTTGCAGTCTTCTGTCTGTATGTTGGTGAATGTGTTCCTGTAGTGTGGTATAGGTGAATAAAACCTTTTCAAAACTTAAGTAGTCAACAGAAGTTCTTAGCTATTTTGAAAATGATGAGGTGAGATAAAGTTTCTAGAGTAAGAAAGAATCAATTAATGGATAGCATATAGTAAGTAAATACATGATCTCATCCCCCTGGGCATTCTGCCCAGGGGGGTGAGATACAGAAAAAATGAACCTTTTGACCATAATGATTACATATGATAGCCTAGGCTGTGTGTAGAATGAAGTGATAGAAGAGTTAGAAAAAATTAGCACAAAATAAGATATGTACCATTTTGTAATTAATTACTTTGTATTGATCTACATATCACTAGTGATTTTGAAATATATGTATTTCAGATATACATACAAATATAGAGGTCTACATATACAGCTATATATGTCTCTAAAAATTGGAAATAAGGGAAAGCTTTTATTTTTAAATAGTATTTTTATTAAAATCATAATAGGATAGTACCATTTTACCTAGAATACAGTCCAAGCACTTCAAAATCTGATAACAAATGTGAATCCACAAGCTCTTTTATATGCTATAGATGTGAGCAACCATATTGGAAAATTTTGCCACTTTTTTCTTTTTTTAAATTTTGTTCCCCTTCATTAACTTTATTGGTACATTTTAGATATAAAATACAGTTACATTCATCATTGGGATCTTGTACC